AAAGCCATTCTTAGCTTGCAGCCTGTACAGAAACAGGTCATGGGCTACATTTGGCCTCTGGGCCATAGCGTACCCTCTCCGTAGGAGGGAATGAGGTGGGTAGATCGTGTTATACTCAGGAATGGCCACTCCTCTTGTTCTGCTGGGCTGTCGTTGTTGGGGAGTTGAGGTGGGTCTGGGTTTTGTTGTTGTGTATGTACCTTCCATCCCACTGGCTTCAAATTCCTCTAACCTTTCCTTGAGCTTAGGATGAGGGCTCAGTTGCCAAAGCGTCTTTACCCATGGCTTTTGGCCTTGCCTCTGTGTCTGCCTTAGCTGCCCCTTATCTTTGGCAGGTCTCTACTAGAGAAAGTTCCTCTCCCTTCCCCCAAAGTAGGAGGACTCTAACAGTCTGACTTAAGATGGCTCCTAGACCCTCCCCGAGGGCTAGAGCAGATTGCCTTTTAGCTTCCCTGGCCACAGCAGTCTTCTGATTCTGTAGGTGAGAAGCTTCTTGTTAGGGCTTAGTGCTGTGGCGGCTCCCACTGAGAGACTGTTCAGTCTGCTCTTTCAGTCTACATCTTAAAAGGTTTTTTTTTTGTTCTTTCTTTCTTTCTTTTTTTGTTAAGTAAATGTGCTAAGAAAGAGGTGCTGATTTTGAGCCTGGTTCCAATTACAGTACCCAGTCAAGAAGTGAATTTACAGCATTGTAAAGGCTGCCAGTAGAGAGGAATGGTAAGGAAAGTTGGCTCCACTCTGGTGATGAATTGAAGCTTCCAGTGGGTTGTCTAGCTGTTTTTTAGTGGTTGCTACAATGTATGCAAAGCTACCAGATTCTATGACTCCTGGGGCCATTCCCATGGAAAATAAACAATGTGAATTTTATATACCCAGTGACATTGTGTAAACGCAGTGGCCCTGATACGTGCTGCATGTGTATGTGGCTCCCGAGGGATGTGCTGCAGTTGGAGTGAAAAAGAAGTAATACTTTTTAAAACAATGTTATAAGTGGACAGAATGCTAGTGTCGACCGAGTCAAACTCTATAAAATAATTGAAGAGATTTGTTCTGAGCCAAATATGAGTGAGGTCGTCAGAACATGTGCCCAAGGTGGTTGGGGTGCAGCTTGGTTTTATACATTTTAGAGAGGTGTGAGACATCCATCAAAAACGTTTAAGAAGTACATTGGTTTGGTCCAGAAAAGTGGGACAACTCAGAGCCGGGGGGTGTGGGGCTTTCAGGCTGTAGGTGAATTTAAACATTTTCTGATTGATAAAGACCTGGGATTGATAGAAAGGGAATGTTCAGGTTAAGGTAAAGATTGTGAACATCAAAGTGCTTTTTGAATTCTTATAGTGGCTGCCTTAGAGACAATAGATGACAAATGTTTCTTATTCAGATCTTAGTTAATCTCTTTAGGACTGGGAGGGTCTCAAAGAAAAAGATCTAGCTATGTTAGTAGAGATTCTTTACAAATGCAGATTTTCCCCCACAAAGAACAGCTTTGCAGGGCCATTTCAGAATATGGCAAAGAAACATATTTCGGGTTAAAATATTATTATTTTCTTCCTTGTCTCATAATGTTATGCCAGAGTCAGGTTGGAGAGTCACGATATATAGGGTTAAATAAAACCCATCTGATGAGAATTTATGATTTGTAGGACATGACTCCCCAGACCCCTTAGATAGGAATTTGGGCAAGATTTTAAAAAATCAGAGTTTAGTCCTTACTAGCAAACGTAGAAAGCTCTCATCTTTCTAGTTTAGCACTTTAAAATTGTATGACTGTACAATAACCTAATAACCATCATTTGAAGATGATGGTTATTAGACTATTGAGTTTTTTTATGCTGCTTTTATGAGCTAAGCTTTTATGTCATTGACTCCGTTTCTAGATTAGCCTGTAGTTTTCTAAACTGTCAAACCTGTTATTCAGAAAGGCCAGGAACTCCTTGAGGGGTAGATTGCAGTAGAAAATTTTATTCTAGGCCGGGCGTGGTGGCTCACGCCTGTAATCCCAGCACTTTGGGAGGCCGAGGAGGGTGGATCACTTGAGGTCAGGAGTTCGAGACCAGCCTGACCAACATGATGAAACTCCATCTCTACTAAAAATACAAAAAATTAGCGAGGCATGGTGGCACACACCTGTTATCCCAGTTACTTGGGAGGCTAAGGCAGGAGAGTCTCTCGAGCCTGGGAGGCGGAGGTTGCAGTGAGCAGAGATCATGCCACGGTACTGCAGCCTGGGTGACAGAGCGAGACTCTGTCTCAAAAAATAAAGCAAAAAGAAAAAATAAAATTTTATTCTAACCGGAATCATTACCTTCCCCCTAGATCCAGATGCAGAGGTGTGCCTTCATGTACTGAGGCTTGTCCAGTCTGTGGTTCTGGAACCTGAAGTCTTCTCCAAGTCGGCCTCTGAGTTCCGGAGCTCCCTGCCCCTGCAACGCATCCTGGCAATGTCCAAGAGCCGCAACCCCCGCCTGCAAACCGCAGCCCAGGAGCTCCTGGAAGACCTCCGCACTCTGCAACATAATGTGTAGGCGTGCTCGGCCACCAGGGTTTTGGTGAAAATGCCGGTGTCCCTTCTCCTCCCCAGATCCCTCATTTGATACTGCAAAACCGTCACCATGTGCCATGTGTTAGAGTTGGCAAAATGTGATTGACTAGAGATGGACCTGAATTGATATGTATCCCACATAACTTGCCTTGGAAGTGAGAGTACTTGTAGGTGGTTGGTTAAGCTTGCCAAGGAAGAGGCCATGAAAGAACCTGGCCTTCCAGAAAAGTGGTCCATGTCTGCTGGCTGGAAGAGGGCTTGCTTAGGGCAGTTTCTTGCTACTCAAAAGACCATGACTGATAGGTTCACCTATAAAACAGGGAAATTAAATAACCATCTACCCCATTGGTCAGCATTTTCCTGAGATACATTTCTTTGAAAAGCAATTCATTCTCTCTCTAGTAATTGTAATCAATCACCCCAAAATGCAAGTTTACTTTTATAACCTTTTGGTGAACCTGCTATTTCGGATGACACTGGACATTTTAGTTCTATATTTTTTGTGCCTGTTTTATTTTTGAATAAAGAAAGTCAGAAGAGTTGTATTACAACCCCTGCTGTCTAAAATCTAAACTTGATACTAGGAAGTTGATCTTTGCATGTTACTGTGTTACTCTTGGTTGGTGGAAAAAAACTCTCCTTAAACTGTTCCAGGCCCTCTGGCTATAAACTTAGAAGTCCTATTTTTCTTATAACAAATACTGTAAAAACAACTTGTATAATAGATTAGAACACATGCAGTTAGTTGAGATTCTGTAAATGAAATGATAGTTCCAGCTCCGTTTTTGTGCATGGGTGTGCCTGTATGCCAGGGCCCTGCCGTATCTGTCTTATCTACCTACTGGTTGCCATCCAGCTTGTTTTCTAGGCCACTGGCAGAGAACAAGGGAGAATGCACTTCATTTCTCATGGATACCATGATTGGTGAGAGTTGCCATTTGTATTAGTCTGTTTCATGCTGCTATAAAGAAATGCCTGAGACTTGGTAATTTATAGAGGAATGAGGTTTAATTGACTCACAGTTCACTGTAGCTGGGGGGGTCTCAGGAAACTTACAATCATGGTTGAAGGGGAAGCAAGGCACCTTCTTCTCAAGGTGGCAGGAAGGAGAATGAATGCAGGAGAACCTACCGAATATTTATAAAACCATCAGCTCTCTTGAGAACTCACTATCTTGAGAACAGCATGGGGGAAACCGCCCCCATAATTCAGTCACCTCCACCTGGTCTCTCCCTCGACACATGGGAGTTACGGGGATTATAATTCAGGCTGCGATGTGGGTGGGACACAAAGCCTCACCACGTCACCATTTAAATCAATCCTTAGAGTCACATTAGTGGACACATTCCCTCCTTTTCCTGGGCCGCTTCCTTCGGTGTGTTGCTGAAGGGCTGCTGGGCTCTGGACATGCTATAAGAGCAAAATAAATGCAGGTGCACTCCACCAGTGGCAGCCCCATCTACAAGAATAAGCTGTTTGGTTGCATATGGCATTTAGAGTAACTTCATTTTTCTTTTAAGTAGATTTTTATAGGCAGTGTGCAATTTAAGGCTGAGGCTGAGTGAAGAAGTGTAGAGGAAGGCACAGTTGCTTGGATTTCGCGAGCCAGCATATTGTGGAACACTAGCTCATCTGAGCCAGGGGAATGTTGCAAAAGGCAATTTAAAATTCATGGAGGCAGAAATCGATCCATCTGTGCTGTGTGCTTCTGTAGGTCCTGATTATTGGTGAATAAAATTGAGAATGTTGTGTTTCTATGCTTAATAGCATGGTACTATCTTCTTTTTGATTGCTGTTTATTTAATAAGGTAATGAGAGATGCTGCCTCTAGAACTACAGGACCTTTTCCTGCCAAAGATGGGGTCAACAGTGTATAGAGAGGAGTGAGCGTTGGCCAGACTCTTGGATGTTGTGTAGTTTGGCTAATTAGTGGATGGGTGTGATTAAGAAGGATCATTTATTTTCTCCTGATTTTGAGGTGCTAAGAATAGCGAGAGTTCTTATGAAAACTCTCTCAGGAAGAAACATACGACAAATCCGTATTTTGAACATATGTCCCAGGAAAAGTACATAAGGCCAGTTTTAAGGAGTGACCTGCCTCCAGCTCTTCATATGAAGGTCAACAGGAATACATAGGTTCTTTAATTTTTCTACAACTAGTGATCTAAAGAAAATGTCAGTTTTTGAAAAGGTATTCATAAAAGCATGTACTTTGCAGATCTTGTGAATTTTAAAATCAAAGTGAAATAGTGCATATATTTTGAAATGTTTGTTTGTTTGTTTTAGACGGATTTTCCCTCTTGTTGCCCAGGCTGGAAGTGCAATGGCATGATTTTGGCTCACTGCAACCTCTGCCTCCTGGGTTCAAGCGATTCTCCTGCCTTAGCCTCCTGAGTCACTGGGATTATAGGCACCTGCCACCACGCCCAGCTAATTTGTGTTACTTTTAGTAGAGACGGGGTTTCACCATGTTGGCCAAGCTGGTCTTGAACTCCTGACCTCAGGTGATCCACCCACCTCAGCCTCCCAAAGTACTGGATTACAGGCATGAGCCACGGCGCTTGGCCTATATTTTTATTTTTTATTTTTATTTTTGGAGACAAGAGTCTTGCTTTGTCGCCCAGGCTGGAGTACAGTGGCGCCATCTCGGCTCACTGCAGCCTCTGCCTCCTCGTACAAGTGATTCTCCTGCCTCAGCCTCCTGAGTAGCTGGGATTACAGGCTTGTACCACCATGCCTGGCTAATTTTTGTACTTTCAGTAGAGACGTGTTTTCACCATGTTGTCCAGCCTGGTCTAAATTCCAGATCTCAAGTGATCCGCCTGCCTCGGTCTCCCAAAGTGCTGGGATTACAGGCGTGAGCCACTGTGCCCAACCTTGAAATGTAATTTTAACAGAATTCCTCTTACGTTTATTAAGTTAAGAAACTATTTTTCTCCTTGGCACCGTCAGTTTGTATGTAAAGATGTGAAACCTGGCAGGCCAGACGTCAGACTTGACTCCCTCCTTCCTCACCCCTTCCCCCACACAAGAGGCTCCGAGCAGGCCTCTTGCTGTCTGGCAGCTCATTAACCATCAGTGCTGCTTTCTCTTCAGTCTGAAAAGAGCAAACCCTTGTTCTGACTGAGAGCAATATGGAGACTTTTTGTGTGGCTTTGGAGACCTATGCCTCCTCATGGCATAGCTTGGGATAAGCCTCATGCCACAGAGTTCTTCTTGCTCCATACAGTTATATCGCCTGTGCCATTCACTCATTCCAGAGGATTTTAAAGTTATAGTACCAAGCATAGGATCACAGGTCTGGAGCCTGAAGAAAATTAGAACAAGGCTGGAAGTCAGGCCGTGGTCAAGGAAGTGTTGACGAAAAGAGTCAAACTCTGTAAAATATTTGAAGAGACTTATTCTGAGCCGAATGTGAGTGACCAGTGGCCTGTGACACAGCCCCAGGAAGTTCTGGAAACATATGTCCAAGGTGGACGGGCCACAGTTTGGTTTTATGTGTTGTAGGAAGACATAAAACATCAATCAATAGATGTGAGATGTATAATACATTTGTTTTGTCTGGAAAGGCGGGACAATTGGAGGGGGCGGGGGGTGTGTTCCAGGTCACAGGCAGATTCAAAGATTTTCTGATTAGCAATTGATTAAAAGAGTTAAGTTATTATCAGAAGACCTGGAATCCCTAGGAGGGAGTATCTGTTATGGGGACCAAGGTTTTTATTATGCAGATGAAGCCTTCAGGTAGCAGGCTTCAGAGAGAATAGATTGGAAATGTTTCTTATCACTCAAAAAGGTACCAGACTCTTAGTTAATTCTCTCGTGGATCAGAGAAGAGGAAAAGAATTCTCTACAGAATGTAAATTTTTCCCCACAAGAGACAGCTTTGCAGGGCCATTTCAAAGTATGTCGAAGAAATATATTTTTGGGTAAAATATTTTGATTTCTTTCAGGGCCTGGTATCTGTCATGTGATGCTATACTAGAGTCAGGCTAGAATTTGGTGTCTTATTGCAACAAAAAGTCTCAAGATCTCTGTTTTAATGTTTATACCAGTCAGTTGTACCTGGATTCCAGAGGGCGGAGGGCATAATGAGGCATGTCTGACCTCCACTTCCCATCATGACATAATGAGGCTTGTCTGACCTCCACGTCCCATCACGGCCTAAACTAGTTTTTCAGGCCAACTTTGGAATGCCCTTGGCTGAGAGGAGGGGTCCATTTGGATGGTTGAGGGACTTAGAATTGTATTTTTGGTTTACAGAGTTTTTGAATAAAGCTTGTAAATGTGCCTGCTCATTCCATTGATTTGGCTGGACCTGCCATTAGCTATTTTGCCACACATTAATATAAATGGAAAAGGTTGATAAAAACTTTTGCAGACTTACTAATTTTCTGAGAAGTCCTAAAGTTTGCTTTGCTGTCTTCCATGGCATAGATGCTGAGAATGCCTCAGAACTTCTCCAGCCAGTGTAGGATCCTGAGTAGAGACCCTGATACAGTGTAGGATGTGGCATCCTGTAGGGCATTGCAAGGTCTTTGGATGCTTTTTGAGTCCAGGCTCAGGTAAGAAGGGCAAGAGATAACTGTACACCTCTGTCTTCACAAACTCTCTCTTTAAGAGCTATGGCTGCCTCTCTGCTCTGAGAACGCACACATTTAAATTTATCTCCAGATGTAGAATAAGAAATCGGAGTCTTTGAATGTGCTAATTAGTGCATGCTACAAAATGAAAACTGTTGTTACTGTCCTTTTTAATTTGTAATTTAAAAAGTTTTAAAATTGTTAAGTATGCCTAACATAAAATTTATGTTTTAACCATTTTAAAGTGAAGAATCAGTGGCATTAAATATGTCACAGTGTTTGATAATCATTACCATTATCTGTTTCTGAAACTTTTCTTCATTCCAAACAGAAACTCTGTACCCATTATATAACAACCCGTTCCCTAAACCTTTCTCCCCTGGCCCCTAGTATCTGCTCTTCTCTGTCTCCATGCATTTGACTACTTCACGCACCTCATAGAAGTGGAGTCATACGATCTGTGTTCTTTTGGGTCTGGCATATTTCACTTAGCATCGTGTCCTCAAGGTTCACCCGTGTTGTAGTGTGTGTCAGAACTCATTCCCTCCTACGGCTGTATCATCCAGTGTGTGGACGCAGCACCTGTCGTTCATATATCCATCTGTTGAGGGACCCTTGGCTTGTTTTCACCTTTTGGCTGTTGTGAATAGTATTGCTGTGAACATTGGGGTACAGGTATCTGTTTGAATTTCTGCTTTCAATCTTTTGGGGTGTGTACTTAGGAGTGAAATTGCTGAATCACATGGTAATTATTTGTGTAACTCTCTGAGGAACTGCCACCTGCTTTCCACAGCAGCCGCACCACTTTCCATGCCCACCAGCAGCAGTGCTCGAGGGCTCTGGTTTCTCCACGTGTTCATCAACATTTGTTATTTTCTGTTTTATTGATAATAGCCATTGATAATGGGTGTGAAATGCATCTTATTGAGGTTTTCATTTGCATTTCCCTAATGATGAATAATGTTGAGC